CCCCCCCCCCCCCCCACCCTTCTCTATCTTCCTTGTGACTTCTAACAATCTCTCTCTCTCTCTCCAATGGATGAAAAAGGAAGCAACGCCCTTAGCCTTAGTGAGGACGAGATGGACCTCCGAAGAGGCCCATGGACCGTCGATGAGGACCTCGCTCTCATCAATTACATTGCCACTCACGGCGAAGGTCGCTGGAACACCCTTGCCCTCTCTGCCGGTAACATTATTGTTATATTTCTTTTCCTAACTTTTAATTCTTATTTTCCCACCACAAAAACATATTTTCTATCTTATCTTATGTTGTTATGTCATACTCATGTGATCGATTCTCCTGCTACCTCACCCACGCCTCCCAATCCCATCTTTTAATTTTCCAATTTAACCCATGCACTTGATTTTTGGATATCATCAATATTGCTAGCACCCACTTGCCAAAAAAGCCAAAAGGATACATATCCTCTCGATTAATCATTAATCTTTCAGAAAAAGAAGAAAAAAAATGCTTGCTTTTCCCTCCTTTGCAGTGGTAGCTTTACCAATCTCATCATATTCGCAGGGCTCAAACGAACGGGGAAGAGTTGCAGATTGAGGTGGCTCAATTATCTCCGTCCTGATGTTCGACGTGGAAACATCACACTTGAAGAACAGCTTTTGATTCTCGAGCTCCATTCTCGCTGGGGAAACCGGTAATTAACTCCATGCATTCAAACGCATGCCCTTTCTTTTAATCTTCTTCTTTTTTAAATCAAATTAAATAATAAATAAATATTGATACCCCTTAATTTGTTTCTCCATTTTTTTCTTTTCTTGTCACATGATGGTATTATATTATCTATTGTCTATGACTATTTTTATTTAATAGTCGTCTTAGTTTTGGATTTTGATGGGATTAGGTTTAAACTGAATTAACAATGAATTATTAATTGGTTCAGATGGTCGAAAATTGCCCAATATTTACCGGGTAGAACCGACAATGAGATCAAGAACTATTGGAGAACCCGTGTCCAAAAGCATGCCAAGCAACTAAAATGTGACGTGAATAGCAAACAATTCAAGGACACCATGCGTTACCTTTGGATGCCAAGGTTGGTAGAGCGCATTCAAGCAGCCTCAGCTGCCTCGACCACCGCAACCATCGTGGCTAACGCCCCCACCGCCACCGTGGCAGCAACTGCAACGACCAACAATGCATACACACATGGGAACAACAATTTTGAGGTTCATAATCATAACCACAAAATGGGGTTGAGTCCTTCAGAGTATGTGGGTTCACAACATGTGACGACGCAAAGTTACACCCCGGAGAATAGTAACACTGCTGCGTCATCATCAGACTCGTTTGGGACTCAAGTCTCAACAATTTCTGATATCACTGACTATTACAGTGTTCCGGTGAGTGGTAACAAAAACAACAATTGTGCAGATTATTATCAACCCTCTCAAATTAGCTACTCGGATTGCATCACAAGCCCTTCTGGGTTGTTTCCTCATCAGGGACTCGATTTTCAAGCCGTGGAACCAAACAACCCGTGGAACATGCAAAGTGGGGACTCCTCCGACAATTTTTGGAATGTTGAAAACATGTTGTTCCTAGAGCAGCAACTCATGAATGACAACATGTGAAACATTGAGAATAGGAAAGGGTGATTATTTTATAAAAGATGAAACTTAGATGCACTTTTTTAACTACTATCTTTAGTGTTGATTTTAATTGGAGTTAAAGTTAAGTGAAATTTTAATTTTAATTAAACAACAACACTAAAATCAACGACTGCATTTAAGTTTTGTTCTTTTGTAAATGAGAAAAAGAAAAAGGGTTGTTTGTGAAATATAGAGAGGCGAAAGTAGAAACAAGGAATAAATTAAATTCATGTGTAGCACACACCTAGATATATATATAGGATCTAGAAACTGTGGATTAATTATAATGATGAAGAGAAGGAATTGGGGGTTATTTTTCAGCTTGTATTTATTTTTTCTAATGGAGGCAGTGAAAAGGATTGTAACTTGTCCATTTTCTTTACATATCATTTCATTCTTTGAAATTATTAACTTTGTTCTGTTTTTCTTTTCTTTTATTTTTTGTTTATGTTGATTCGATCCTCATTTCCATTCCTTAGGTTTGATTAGTTGCTATAGCGAGGGCATTATAGATGCAGAATCGTGCATAGTTAAATAATAATAATTAATAATTTAAAGATAAGCTAGCACACTTGGCTCCACACACACCTTTTTTAATTTTCTTCCCTACAAGTGTTATTATATTACATTATGAGTAATCCCACTCTTGAAACCTTGTCCACGGGACCTGAATCAGGCCTCTATCTTCCAAAGTTTCTAGATTGTTAAAGAAAAGGTGACAAGTAATGGAAATTGTTTAGACGTGGTGCTCTATTATTGGTGGGCTACCTCATTAAGTTGGCCCATTAGGGATAAATATATTTCCAAAGTTCTCAAATGTGCCACCTAAGTACGACTCCAAGAACCCAAAATCGTCTCACGCTTTGTTGGGTTTCGTACGGACAATATATTTTTTACTTGGCTCCAAACTTATTTACTTTCCGTCTAATCCATGATCAAAAGTGCTTCATCGGTAATATCATGCTTTCACCACCCAACTTTATTCTAATAAATACTTGTCTTATATTTAAGGAATAATAGCCTCCACTCAACGGGCCAAAGAAGAACAAAAATAGCAATAAATTATGATGTGGTTTCAGTAGGAAATTTAATTTCTTAATAATATTAAACATAAAATAATATATATCATCTTAAAATTAGGAAAATAATTTTAATCTATTTTTTTAGACAATTTTGTTAAATGCAATAGATTTATATTATAATTTTATTTTGTAAACAAATGTTTCTTCTAATTTTTTTATAAGAAACAAATTATAGTGTGAAATATACTAACATTTGTTTTTTTTATAAAAATTGTTGAAAGGTAATATTTAGTAAAAATGAGAGACAGATGAGGGTAAAATAAAATGCGTGTGTTTGAATTTTTAAACATGAAATTAATTTTATGAAAAAAGTTAAAATGATATTCTAATAATAAAAATGAAAAAAAAAATATTAACTCAAATGCTTATGCAATGGGTTGAAAAGACTTTAAAAGTATATGATTATAATTACGATCATTAAAATAAGTCAAAATTTGTGAGTTAATTCAATTCACCACGTCTTAGTAAGATAGTATAAAAATAGTGACTTATTTTATATTATAAGAAAAAATTGATTTAATTCAATTACAATAATTTATCACCCAGTCAAACTTATGATAGATTGACTCACTTAATTTACTTTATTTATTTTTTAATATATTAATGTATGTGATTATATATTTATATTATTAACTGATTTTTATACATGATAGTTGAGGATTATGACAATCAATGTGAAATTAATGTTAAGTTGATGTGTCATTCTTCTCTTTTAACTGTAAATTAGTTGGACTAACGAATGTTAATATTAAAATTAATTTTACAAAATTTTAACTTTATTTTTCTTTTTTTTTTTTACTTCACAATATAAATAAGTAGAGTTTCGAAGTGTAAAAATCATCAACATAATAATTATTGATAACATATTTTAAAAAGTCAACTATTTACTAATAATGACTTATTTTTATTTTGTTTTTTTAATATCATTTCGTACCTATGAACTAATTAAACAAATATTTAATTAAATAATTAACTTATCAAATGTTAACCGACTTTTGAATTACCAAATTGGTTAATTAATTTCATTAATCAATCATAACCAACTTTTTTAAGGGAGTAAAATAAACTTTTTTTATTAAAAAAATTATTTAATAAAAAATATATTTACAAATTAAAATAGATAAATATAAGAATGAAGTCATAAAATAGATTGAAAATGTATGATATGCAATATGAAAAAGTGGCAATATATATTTTGTGGTGTGATAGAAAGTGTTTTAGAAAAGAAGGTTAAGGAATGGTTGAAAAGAGAAAGAGGAAGCTGGTAATGGTAATGGCAATGGCGGCGAGGAATCTACTGCGTAGGGCGCGTGTCTAGAATAAGGAAGTGGTCCTGCACGCTGCACAATGGTGTGCATGTTCACAACTTACAACGTGTTCTTCTAACTTCTTTATAAATTTTTAAAAATTTAAAATTAAAAAATAAAAAATATTCCTGGAACCAAGCACTCACAGCCGAAAAACTTGAAGTTAAAACACCTACCGTATGACCTCTATTGTAAATCATAATATCTGAATCCTTGCCATCGTCCAATTTTATTATTGTTAAATTAACTTTAATAGATATAAAAAAAATCATAATGTTGACCTCTCTTTTTTACTTCTCACTTGTAATGTATTTTTTTTTTTTACACATTATTAATAGTTAATTAGTTTCAAATCAATCATTTTTTATATCACACCGTTATCAAATAAAATCCTGTTACAATAATTAATGTTGAATTAATAATGAAGGTTGAAGATAAATGAAGGAAGACTTAAATTAAAATTTTCATTGAAATGATAATAATAATAATAATAAAACTACTGTTACAGGATGTTGTAAAATGTAAAGATTTTAAAAAGGATGAACCAAACTCAACTAAATCCATACTCAACTCATTTAAAAATAGTTGGATTATATTAAACTCATTTTTTGTTTCAGTTTAAAATCTTAATTTAATTTGTGATAGATTATGAGTTGATTTAGGTTATCTGGTAATATATTAAATAAATTATAAATAAGTCGACTTCTTAACTTATTTTAACATTTCATTTAAACAGTTAATTGTCTCATTCATTAACTTAAAATTTTATGTAAATTAACATGTTTAACTTTTTATATATAAATAATTTGGTAATATATAATTCAACAAAAAAAAATTTAATATTGTAACAATAACAATAACATAATTATAGATGTTTTTATACTATAACCAACCCAAATCAATTTCGGAGTGACTTTTAGTATGGTTTTTATTAAAATTAATAAACTTATTACAAGATCAGTTGTGATTAAATGATGGTAACTTTTTTGTTACATCATCGGTACTTATTTTTCTTTCTCAAATAAAAATAATAATTAATTACTTAAGGATAGTAATATATATTAAAAATATAAAAACTTATATTTTTTAAATAAAAATATAAAACTATGACAACCAACTTTGTATTTGATTTTTTTAACCAAAGTATCGATTTCGAATCTTACAAATAAAAAAACATGATCAAAAAGAAGTTTTCAGTAAAAAAGGTTAACCAAATTTTCTTGCAAAAATTAATATTGATAATATATGACACAAATGATATGATTATAAAAAAAAAACACACTTGTTAATAAATGTTTTGAGCTGATAAATTAGGCTATGTATGAAGTTTTAATTAAGAACCTTGAGGGTAGTTAAATTTTACTCTGTTATAGTTCGAAAATTGTCTTACTAACATCATTTATCATATCAGATCTAATTAACCAATAGGAAGTTGGTTGTATATAAATTTAAGCTTGTTTACATGGACCAATATTTGTCTAATCAGTGTAATTTTACTATAAAAGTTATATTATTCACAAAATTAGTTATACAGGCGTGTATTTATGTAAGGGTGTCTTCTTAATTAATAAGCCTAAAGTTTTTACATATTTAACTGATTTTTTAAAATGAAATAATTAGTAATTACCTTGACTTTTTCGCAAAACGGGTCGCGTGTATAATGTACAGTATTGGACTCTTGGATCTTATTTCGGAAAAAAAAATCCTTACAATTTTCCAAACAAAAAAAAAACTCTAAATAACAAATAAACATAATTAACTCAACTTTTCATGTTTAAAAATTATATAAACCGTTGAAAATAAGCTTAAATTATGAGAACTGTTTTACTATAAAATGTAAGTTTTATAACTTGACCTAAGTTAAAACAAAAAAAAAAAATACTCACCATACATTTTATCCAAAAAAGTTAAAATAAAAGTGAATGTATAAAAAACATATTAGAGTTTTCGTATTGATATCATGATTATTCAAAAATATATTAAGATGATCATGACTCGATTCAATTCGAAAGGATTTTCGATGGATTCAAATGTAACAAATGAGATTCAATATATTTTAGAGAAAAATTCGAGTTATCATATATTTTTATAATTTTTTTTCAAATAACTTAGTGATAGGGCAATAATATAGCATTTTTATTTGTGTATAAAATGAAAAGAAAAAAAAATCCTTCACGGGGTTTGAGAAACATGTTGATATTGGGCATAGGAATAAGAAAAGTAGAAAGGTGTTGTATAACTGGACTCCACAAAGAAAGAG